TTTTTTTTTTTTTTTTGAGTCTCCTGCCTTTTTTTCTTTTCTTTTCGTGGTGCTGTGGCTGGAACCCAGGACCTGGTACATGGTGGGCAAGTGCTGTACAAGTGAGCTACACTTCTACTTCTCTCCTGCATTTATTTTATAGTTTCTCTTTTTCTTTATTTAAATTCTTTTTTTTGGCTTTTTGAGACAGGGTCTTTCTGTGAAGTCCAGCTTGGCTTTAAACTCACTATGTATCCCAGGCTGACCTCAAACTCTTGGTGATCCTCCTACCTCAGCCTCTTGCCTGTTGGGATTACAGGCATGCACCACCTCACCTGGCTTCTTTATTTAAATTCTTATTGTATCATATTATATTATTTTTTTGTGTGTATAGTGTGAGGTAGAAAATCCAATATCAGATTTTTATTATGGCTGTTCTGTTTTTGCACACTTATTTACAATGCTACTTTTATTATATATGTATTGCATTTCCCACTTTTATTTGTATCTATTTCTAAACTATTCGGTTGCACTAACTCTTCTTGCTAATGGCAGGATTGTGCATCATTTCACTCATAAATTATGCCACTCAAAGTGTATCCTGCATGTGTTACTGTGGTAAAAATGAGCAGATTGTATAGGAGTGTGCTACTATAGAAACCAGTGACATGTGAGGATGTTGCTGTGGACTTCACTTGGGAAGAGTGACAGCAACTAGGCCCTGCTCAGAAGACTGCACAGGGATGTCATGCTGGAGACCTACTGTCCCCTGGTCTCTGTGGGTAAGGGCAGATTCCCTGTGTGCCAAAGAATCAAATCTATCCCATCCTTCAGAGCTGTCAAGATCATGACCTTCATGATTTTCCCTTCATGGAATGTTTTAATCATTTCAGTTGTTAATGTTTATATTTTTGTTCTATGTGGAACTTATTTTTGTGTGGGGAAAGTTCAAGATCCATTTTTGTGTGGAGAATCTTGAAATTCATCTGTACTTCTTGAATTTCTAAGCTCCCAAAACCAAGGCCATTACTATTTTCTCTTATCAGAGTGTTCAGGTGTGAATCTGGATGCTCTCTTCAAGTTGCAACATGGAGGGGACCCTTTCTTCACCGAGAGTGAGTGCCAAGGTGATTCTACCCATGTAAGTAAAAACTGGGAGGCTGACAAGAGGGAGTCTTCACTGGGGGCGATGGCTCATGCCTGTAATCCCAGCACTCTGAGAGGCTAAGGCAAGAGGACTGCAAGTTTGAGCCCCACCTGGGCAACTCAGCAATTTAGCGAGACCCTGACTCAAAGTAAAGCATACATGGAACCCCTGTGGACACAGGGTCGGCAAGGACGGAGTTAATGATAGGGTGCCATTTTAGCAAAGATTTGAGAGAAGTGTGGATGTAGAAATGAGAGGCAGAGAGAACAGCAACTCTAAAGGCTCTGAGGCAGAGGAATACTTGCCTCAGGTTGGCTCTCTAATGTATTCCAAAACACTTCAAGGATTTACCTTAAATTATCCTAGCTTGTCATGGCCCAAGGAGCCTGAGAGATGTGAGCATAAATCTACGCTGGTGTTGGTGATCTTTCAACACGCAGATAAAATTCCAAGATATGGAGCTGAGGGTGTAGCTCAGTGGCAGATCTTTTGCCCAGTTGGCCTGAGGCCCTGGGTTCTGTTCCCAGCACTAGAAAGAAAACCAAGATATAAGAGCCTGCGGTGGAAAAAACATCACAAGGCACATAAGAAAACTGGGTACAAAACTTTAATAGCAAGACTCATAAGCAACAACAAAAATTCAAACCTAGCCGGACGTGGTGGCTCATGCCTATAATCCCAGCACTCGGGAGGCTGAGGCAGGAGGATCGCTGTGAGTTCGAGACCAGCCTGGGCTACAAAGTGAGTTCCAGGTCAGTCTCAACTACATAGTGAGACCCGGTCTCAAAAAACAAAAACAACAAAAAAAAAATTCGAACCTATAATACTTTACATATTGAAGTTATTGGACCTATATTATAAAATAAATATATATTTAAAGTAACAAGGGCCGGGGATTTAGCTCAGCGGTTCCGCTGCCTGCCATGCAAGTGCAAGGACCCGAGTTCAATCCCCGGTACCAAAAAAAAAGTAACAAGAAGATGTAGCTGGGTGCGTGGCACACACCTGTAATCCCAACACTCAGGAGGCTAAGGTAGGAGGATCGCTCTGTGTTTGAGGCCAGCCTGGGCTACATGGTGAGTTAAAGGCCAGCTTGAACTACATAGCGAGACCCTGTCTTTAAAAAAAAAAGTATTATTTTGCTAAGGCTGTCATAATAAATGTCTCAGACTGGGTGGTTTAAAGATATGAAATGTAGGGGCCAGGGATTTGGCTTAGTGGTTCTGCCTGCCTTGCAAGCACAAGGGTCTGAGTTCCATCCCCGGCACACACACACAAAAAGATATGAAATGTGTTATCTCACTGTTCTGGAGGTTAGAAGTCCTAAACCAACAGTATCGCTTCTTTTTGGAGCTTTTCAGGAAAGATCTGTTCCAGGTCTTGTTCCTGTAGATGGATGTCTTCTTTCCATGCCTCCTTGGGTAATCTCCCCTCCATGAATGTTGTTGTGTCCAGATTTCTCCTTTTTAGGTGGAGCCTGTGGCTTGGGTGGCAGGCACCGTGGCCCTCCCAGCTTCCACAAGGGGAACCAATGCCACCCCTGCCACAGCAGTGGTGGGCTCCAGGTTCCCCTGCACTTCAGGGCAACTACGAGTAAGCAAGCTGTTGCAGGTCGTGCAGACCACCATCATGTGCACCATGCACAGCTGCAAGAAAATCCTGCCCAATAGCCTGGCGCTCAACACACACCTGAACAAGAGCCACCGCCCGCAGGATGGCATAGTAAACCTAACAATAAGAAAAGATTTGAAGGGCTGGGGATTTAGCTCAGTAGTTCTGCCATCTGCTTCGCAAGCACAAGAACCCGCGTTGGATCCCCAGTAACCCCCACCACCACCAAAAAAAAGGAAGATTTGAAGTCCATACCGAAATTCTACCATTGTCCTATTGAAGGATGCCCCAGAGGCTTCGACAGACTATTTTCAGTTTTCTCTCGGAAAATAGCACTTCATGAAGATGCATGTTGAGAAGAAGCATAAATACAGCAAGGACCTGAAGAGGCAAATGCAGGACTGCAGTGAGACCTTCCAGTGCATATGCAGCTGTCCCCACGCCAGCAGGATGGCGCTGCAGCCGCACATCTACTGCACTGGCTGCAAGATCCCTTTGGAGCACAGGGATCCACTATAAATGGAAAACTACCTGCAAAACCAGAAGTTGTCTATGAAGACCATCAAATCCTTGAGCAGCCAACCAAACCCTCGGCCAGACGCCCCAGAACTAGGCTTCAGAAATAAAATTTGTGGCCTCTTTGGAAGACTGTCTTGGCTCCAGGAAGCAGAGCATCACCACACCTCCAGGATACCTTCAGAAGCTGCTCTTACCAAAGCCCAGGGTAGCTCTGGTGAAGCTTCTGCTCGTGCAGCTCTCATCTATCCTGGTCTTTGAGCCTTTGCCAACCCTGAGGCCCACCCTGTGGTGTTGTGAGTGGATCAGGGCTCTGGCTTGGGTGCTGTGCACCTGTGCTTCATCTGTGGGGACCCTGATCCTCTGCCTAGATTCAGACACGTGCTACCTTAAGGAGAGCTTACCTCTCTCGAAAGCTGTAAATCCTGGTGTTGAGCTGGTTAGTACAAGTGTTCCGGTGAATGTGGGGGAAGAGTCTGTCTAATCCTTCCCAAGATTTAGGGATCCCATGTCATAGGAATGGCATTTCGTCCATCAGCCTGCAGATGGATCTGTCCTGTGCCTCACAGCACTTGATCCCCTCTGTTCTGTGGGTTGGTGCTGACTTCTCCATGTTGTCTTGCTCTCGGAGTTTGATTCACAAATGTTCCTTCCCTTTAGTGTCCACACTCAGATGCTTCTACCCAGCTCTAAAGCAAAATCATCCATCGATGTTCAGACAGATGCTTTCATTGACACCTGTCTCCAGCCTGGTGGGGTCTTCCAGGGAAATGCAGACCTGCAGGGTGCTGGGTCCTGTAGACCACCGGATGCAGATGGACCAAGCTGGGATGTGTGGGGACATTTTGGAGAGTGCTCATCCCATGGACAATAGTAAAAACAGCAGTTTTGTAGCAGAGACAGTTACTCATGACTTTTAACCTCAGAATGACCCTAAAGCTTTAAGTGAAGATATTGATAAATTCACACTCATCTTGAACTTCATTGCACAGAACAGTATGCCTCCCTCACAGAGTACGACAGATAATCACACCCAAACCATAGATCTGTTAAGTGACTTAAAAAACATCCTGTCAAGTAATCTGCCCGATCAAACTTTTGGAAAGCTGTGGTCTTTTGTCTGACACCAATCCTGGTCCTGATACCCAGCTCCCCTTTGGCCACATCCAGAACCCCAGCATCTATTTTGATATTGAAGAATTGTTCTCTGCTGCCAACATCCAGACTCAAACTGAGGAGAGTGGACTTGGTGCTCTGAACATGGAGCTAATCCAGGAGTCAACAGACATAGAGACCCAGACTGACTTTTTACTTGCAGTCCCGCTTGCCTCCTTATAGGTGCTGGGGTGACGCTCACTTCCTATGGGTGGAGATGTCCAGTATGCAGACCCAGATGAACAGCAGCCCTCACCTGCTCCTCTGCAGCATCCTAAAACAGCTTTTCCATGAGTACTGATTCGTCTGACACCAAGCCCAAGACGGAAGGACTCTGCCAGAAAAGTCCCTGCTCAGAGAGGAAGGTGCATCTGAGCAGCAGCAAGACACAGGCCCCCAAGCTGAGTCTGGAGGTCCTGGGAGCTTCCCCAGCAATGAACCACAGACAGCCATGGATGACTTCCTGCTGGCCAATTTGACCTGGAACACAACAGAGTCTCAGTTCAGGTCTGTGGAAACCCAGACGTGTGCTGAGCTGCACAACTTCTAAAGGATTAGGCCGCGTGTGGGTGGCACTTGCCATTTCCTCCCCGACTTAAAAAACAAACAAAACAAAACAAAAATAGGGAACAAGGATGACAGTACTAATGTTGTTGAATGTAGTCCATGATGCGGTTGCTTGCGTTCTTTGGGATTCTCTGCCCTTTCTGCTTGTAAACAAACACAAAATTTGTGCATAAATCTGAGTGTATTATAAAGTGTAAGATGTTGATCTGAAAAAAGAAGCAAAGTTCCCCTTTTAATAAGGGGACTAGTCATATTGGATTAGTTTTATAACCTGATGGCCACATTTAACTTGATTACTTTTGGGTTTTTTATAATTAACTTGATTACCTCTGTAAAGATCCTCTCTTGAAATATCATGATATGCTGAGGTACCTGGGGATTAAGACTTCAACAGATGAATTTTTTGAAAAACAATTCAACTCCATAACATAGAAATGGAATATGTAAGTAAAGAGCAAGAAAATCCAAAATGACCAAACAGATTTTTGAGATTCTAGCTGAACTTATAAAAATGGAAAATATAAGAATTGGAAGTACAACTTGCCCAGATAAGTTGAGAACACATGAGAACTGCTGAAGAGAGAATTGGTAAACTTGAAGACTAACCTGAAGTGGTCACTGAGAATTCAGGATCACAAGTCAAGGCGATGGAAATTTTAAAGTGCTTAACAGGTTTGGTGATAAAAAAGTAAGCAGATCTTGCATGTGTCTTAGTCAAAAGTCCCTGTAGGAGATGAGGGAGAAAATGGAACAGAGGCATTATTCAGAAAGGTGATAGTTGAGAGTTTTCCAAAACTTTTTTTTAAAATTTTTGAGGCAGGGTCTCAGTATGCAGTTCAGGCTGGCCTTGAACTCACAGTGATTCTCCTGCTTCAGCCTCTCCAGGGCTGGGATTACAGGCATGTGCCACCACGCCTGGCTAAGTTTCCTAAATGGATGACATCAACCTACAGTTACAAGTACATTCTGAAGTGACTTCTCAAAGCAGGAGTGGAAGCCAGAAGACAGTAGAATTTTATCTTCAATGTGCTGAGAGAAAAGGACTGTCAATCTGGAATTACAATTAAAATACCTTTCAAGGTGAAGATGAAAATTAGGGTGGTTTTAGACAAATCAACATTTAGGGAGCTTTCCCCCAGAGTACTCTCCCTAAGGGAAATTCTAAAAGATGTATCTCAAACAGAAGGAAAATGACCCCAAATGCACAGCTTGAGCTGCAAGAAAGCATGACAAGCAAAGAGTCCAAGAGTAAACCTGAATAAATAGCCACAGTGCAACAAGCCAGGGGGGACAAATCATGAGGATAAGAACAAAGAACAAAAGAGAAATAAAAGGGTGAAATGACCTCAATTAGGAAATATACTAAGCTTAGATTTTGGTAAATTAATGTATGTGCTATAATTCCTCAAATAACCAGTTAAATAGTAGAGTGTGAAATTTTCAAATTAATACAGTAAAGAAGTAAGTGGTCTGTTACTGTTTTTTATTGCTATTATAACAAATTACCACAAACTTTGTGGCTTAAGAACAACAACAGCAAAAAGGATTATTTTACAGTTCTTACAGAAGGTCAGAAGTCCTACCTTAGTCTTAAGGCATTGAGAGAGCTCCATTCCCTTTGGGGTTCTTTCAGGGAGAGGCTGTTACCTTGGCTTATTTAGCCCCGAGAAGCCATCTGCATCCCTGTGCTCATAGCTTCCTGTCTCTATTGTCAAAGCCAGCAATGTAGCATCTATCTGATCCTTCTTATATTGTCACATTTATTTCTCACTGTCTGGGAAAGGCTTTGCCCTTTGACGGAGTCATTTAATCAGAGTAGGCCCACTTTCATAATGAAAGGTGATTCTCCCATCTCAAGGTCCATAACCTCAATCACATCTGCTGAGACTCTTTCCACATAAGGTACCATAGTTACAGACTCCGAGGACTATGGAATGAGCATCTTCAGTACTGTTGTTCTGCCTAACACAGGTGGATTAAAAAAAGAAACCAACCACCAGAAAATCCAAGAAGGGAAACAAGAGTAAATATTTGAAAAAAAAAAGAGTTATAAATAAAAAGCGCAAGGGCTAGGGCTGTAGCTTAGTGTTAGAGTGGTTGCCTAGCACGCACAAGGCCTTGTGTTCCATCCCCAGCACCAGTACTAGCACCAGTACCGGCACCACCACCACCACCACCACCACCATCACCACCACCAGCAGCAGCAGCACCAGGCTCTGCAGGGCAGCTGGCACCTCCCGCAGATGTCCTCCCCGCCGAGTGCCGCTCGCCACAGCCTCTGCCTCCAGCCCGACTCGGGAGGGCCCCCGGAGCTGGGGAGCAGCCCGCCCGTCCTGTGCTCCAACGCCTCCACTCTGGGCTCCAGCACCCCGACCGGGGCCGCGTGCGCGCCCGGGGACTACGGTCGCCAAGCGCTGTCACCCGCAGAGGCGGAGAAAAGAGGGGGCGGCAAGAGGAAAAGCGACAGCTCAGGTAAGGGCGTGGGCACCTTCCCTGAGAGCTCGCGAGGGTGGGGAAGGGGCGGGGAGATGGACGAGACCGGCGCGCTAGAGACGAAGCGGCCGGGGAGGACGAGAAAGCTCTTGCCCTCTGGGCTCCCCGGCTCCCCGCGGCCGGCCCAGCGGCGCAGCCTGAGTCCGGTTACTGGCGGGCGCGTTTCCCCGAGGGTAACACAGACAGGGCCAGGGGATCTCAGCTCTCCAAGAGCCCAAACTAGTTTACCAGGAGGTTGAAAG